AAGTTCCCATAAATAGTTTGCGCACTTCTTTATTTTTTTTAATAGTTTCGACAATTTTCCAGTTTGCTGAAATTTTATATGTTGCATTAAAGTAATTTATGAGGTTGAATGTTGTTGTTAAACGAAACAGGGAGAGGTCTATCGAGGTAGAATCAATGTGTTCCTACAAATTAAATAAATATTGTCGGTTATTACTCCAATCATAACTCAAAAATTTAAAAGTTGAAAAAAGCTAAAACATAAAGGTGCACCTGATTATCCCCGAACTCATGTGCAATATCTTCATTATCTACTTGCGTCATGTGCAAAACTGTTTAATCTAAAACTACAATCAAAATAAACAAGACATCACAATCAAATCCCATACTTTCGGGAGATAGCCACATCTCTCTCTTAGATTTACTCCAAGACACTCCTGACATATATACTACATAAAACTAATTCGGTTGAATTAGAAATATAGCACATTGAAAGAGCTATTTCCAATTGACAATCTCACATCCAAAACTGCTCATATGACTACAAATGAAGCACGTATTTCCAATGGCAAGGAGGTACAACAATATATCCAAGTACAACCTAGTATGGATAATATTGAGATTTAGAGAGATAATTGTATTGTAGAAGAAAAAACTCTCATTTGATCAAAGCTTGCATAAGTTAGTTACAGATGTGGGTTTTTATACAAGTCATTCTATACATGTGCTACAACTACTGATTAATTAACCATCTAAGCTAACAATTTCACCAACTAACAGAGTTTATCAACTAACGACCTAACTAACATAATTTATCAATCAATTAACCAATTTCAATAGACAGTAGAAATTTTAAACCAACAAATGATATTACTATAAAATCTTACTCCTAATTAAAACACAACCAACATTTTTCACAAAGAAGAGATAACGAATTCGCAATTCAACAACACTCACTACCACAATCAATTACTGAGCACTATGCAAGACAAAGCATCTTACTATCAAATATGAACCACCAGCACCATATTCATTATCAACTGATAAGGAACAACCCATCCTATCAAAATATGAAAATGCCAATACTGTGTATGCATGTAATCAGCATCGACACTCTTTTGCTTCTTGGGTTCTCTCAAAGCCATTTTGATTATTCTTTGTTTAGTAAACATGTTGGCCCTGAGTTAGTAGTGGTCCTAGTTTATATTGATGATCTATTAGTTACAAGCAATACTCTCTCTCTGATTTTACAAACTAGGAATGACTTAAAGCTAAAGTTTAAGATGAAAGACTTGGGTGAACTTAAATTTTTTCTTGGAATTGAATTTGACAAGCCAGGAAAGGAATGATGATGTGTCAAAAGAAGTATGCTCTGGATTTCATAGTTGAATAGGGGCTTAGTCGGTCTAAACTACGTAGTTCTCCGCTAGATATATTTCAACCATCAGCTTGAAGAATAACATTTTTCTTTATTTCAATACCGTGTCTTCTATTGCGTCGGTTCTATTTTCGCTCCGATTTTCATTTTTACATATAAAAAGAGATCATTATTATATTATGATCATGTATTGCTAACCAATATAGTGATCATATATTGCAAAGATCACAAACAAAACTTTATTTTACTGTTTCATTCTTCTATTTAATAGGTAAGTGCTTATAAAATATCATTTCTTAAAGTACCTTTCGAAAATGCATAGGATTAGAGTAAACTTGCAACGTTCTTATATAGTTTAGACCTTTGTGTTCTACTTTAGAAGATAAATTAGTTGTGCGTTCTAATTTGTTACTCTCCTTGTCCATTTCACTTATCCGCCATATTAAAAATAAACGTTCACTTTTACATCAAAATCTCATTAAATTAATACTTGGTAAATTAATAATCTCTCTAAGATAATATTTTCTTCCGGTTCCGATTTGGGCCAATGGAAAAAATCACACATTTCGATAAGATAATATATTTTCAGGAGACCCCTATATAAATATATGGTCCCATTAATATTATAAATTTGTACAAATACATCTAAGACAATTTAGGGAAATATGATTCTATAGTATTTTATTTTTTGTTAAAATTTAATTCTAGTTGAAGTTTATCTCTAATTTTTGTTATTATATCCAAAAGTTCTTGTGTTGTCTTTTTTATTTGCACCATAAAATTGTGAAGAGTTCTAGATGCGATAAGTGTTTCCTTATGCGTCACTTGTTCCAAATGTATTGTATCATCTTCAACTTCATCATCAACATTGTTTTTTTCCAATGATGTCTTCAATTTCTTTTAAGTTCTAGACCTCTGAACATGTATCACTTTCATCCGGGTAATCCAACAAGTTCTTGACGTCTATTTTATTGCGATAACTGAGATAATTAATCATGACCTCAAGTTCATAAATGATGTTTCAAGTGAGTTCATTCAAATTCTTTAAGATTTCATTCCCCCAACAAATTTTGCAGTGTTGAAAACAATTTGCTATTGTTTTTTGCTTTGAACATTTGTTGTCCAAGTCTAGATTGCAAAATTGATAGCATCCAAAACATAAATATTTTTTGGATCCGTTTGTCCCACTTCGTAGCCTTCTAAAATATCATATGATAAAAATATGTTGCGATAATACATCTTGAAAGCTCTTATTATTGCAGCGTCACAAGATTGAACTCGAAAAACTTTTTAAATGAATAAATATGACTTTATCGATTAAATAATTTCTCTATGAAATAATAATATTTCATGGTCTCACCTATATTAATTTAGTGAGGTTATATTGTACTTGTCCAATTTAGAAAATCAAGAGATATTTTACTATTTTAAACCTACTTTACTTTACATTCAATTGTTTTAAGTGTTTTCAATTTCTAATCTCACACATAATAATTGTCATTTTTTTTCCGAGTAGTCTTTAATACTTGTTCTTGATACGGTGCAAATTGAGATAATATTCCATATGTCACTCATTCAATTTTGATTTTTATTTCTAAAGTCACTCAATTATGGATTTTTATCTCATAAATTCATTTAACTTTGATTTCTAACACAAAAATTACTGAAATATGGGTTTTTTTCTTTCACAAAGTCACTCAACTTTGAATTTTAACTCAAAATTCACTTAACTATGGAAATTTTACTTACAAAACCACTCAATCTATTTCATTATTTTTTAATTAAAATTTGCTTATATAAAGTTTTTATTTCAAATCAAATTTTAAATAAATAAAAATATACTTATCTATTAAAACCATTTTAATGACCCACTCAATCAAGTTTACAATCGGTAAAGCTACTTCCCTGTTCATGCAATAGTCATTTTACCCAAAAATCAAACCCACATGGAATTTTGTAAAATGTAAATATTTATGTTTTAGTAATTAATCAAATTTATGAAAAAATGATCAGCATTCGGACTCTCAAGCCATACAACAAAGTGTTTAATAATAACTTTTTCTCAAATTAATTATTTTGTGACCAATTAATTTTCCAACATAATTTAAGCTTAGCTCATATTGCTCCCTTCTTTTTTATTTACTCGACAAATTTTGATTTTACGTACTCATTAAGAAAACGGTGATTATAGAAATTTTACTCTTATTAATTGATATGGGCCCAAACATATTTATTTACTAGGTCATGACATTAACTCAATGTTAATAAATTGAGGATACAATAAGAAAAAAAAGTGTCCTTCCTTGATTTGTCAAAAAAATAACAAGTAAAAACCCGTTGTCCGTGATCAGGTTTGTTCTTGCCTTGTATTCTTTGTATTATACTGTTTAACAATTTTAATTTAAAACATGTTATTTGGATCTACCCAAATTTTGTCACCCAAATATTAGGTTCTTTTCTGACGAAAATTCTTGTCTATGATATCCGATGCCTCAACTGAAAAATATGGTAATTAATTTTAGGTATTTCACACTGAGTTTGAAAATTTGGACTATTCTTAAGTTTGTTATTATAATTTGATTAATAACTTAGAGTTGTCGAAATTGGGTGTTTCTTAGTTTAGCTAGGTTTATACAATGAAATTCTATTACGTTTATTTTTATTCTCAATCTACAAATTATCTCTGTTTGGATGGATTTTTGGTTTTTTCCCTTTTGTTTTATTTTTATCATGTTAGCTTAAAATCAAGGGCTTATAAACACTTTTAAAATTTATTTAAACACGTTTAAAAACTATTTTAATTTTAAATCCTTAAAATAAATCAATCCAAATAGGTTAACTTGCTTTTTGACAATTAGTCATGTTTGGGACTTTGGGTTGGATTGATTTTTTGTTAGTCAAAAGTTCTAACTTATGACTTTAGACTTTATTTTTGTTATTTTAACTTAAAAATAAGTGCTTATAAATACTTTTTTATTTTATCCAAATACTAAAAAATTGTTTAAAAATTATTTTACTTAAAAACATCTAATATAAGTCAATCCAAGCATGCTCATTGTTTGAAGTTCCCCTTTTAATTATACAACTCAAAACTTGAGTTTAATTCAATTCCTACTAGTTTAATGAATTCTTTAATTAATCGTTCTGATAAATTTTAATATTGTAATATAGTTCTAAAAATTAAAAGAGATATTACCATACAGTAGTGTTTTAATTTATCTCTTCTTTTAAATATGATTGCGAAGGAAATATTATAATAGGGAAAAGGGTGATATACCTTGACTTTGCAATTTAAAGTTGATATACTATTTGTTATAAAAGTGTTTCATATATATACCTATTGTTACACAAATGCCTTTCTTTGATATTACCATACAATAGGGTTTTAGATTACTTTTTTTTAAAAAAATAAATAAAATAGTCGTTAAGATTCCTGACCCAATTAGTGATGACTATAAGGTCAAGGTAAAAAAAAATCATGTTATTTGCATTAGTGATTAGAATTTTGGATTGGGATATGACCCAATTAGTGATGACTATAAGGTCGTTAAGATTTCTGAAGATGATTTAGAGGCACCCACTGAAATTCTCTCACTAAAAACTGGTTCATGTAGAAAAATTTATGAACCTTCCAATGCGATAATATGGACTATTTGACATCAGTACGAAGAACATTTCATTGGCTTGCTGATTCCGAAGGATATAGGTCTTCTCTGTTTTCATTTAATATTTCAAATGAGGCGTTTGGAGAATTACCATTGTCAAAGGAGATGCCCTTGTTGTGTGACACGATCGAGCAAGGCCTAACAGTGTTAGATGGAATGCTTAGTGTGAATTTTGTTTGTGTCAAGGAGGATACTATTGTTTTTGATCTGTGGGTAATGAAAGAGTATGGTATCGAAGAATCTTGGACTAAATTATTCACAATGAGAGATAGCAGGAAACGTTTTCAAGTGTTACCAATCGCTCCAAAATATATATTTGCAGATGGGCGAGTGTTGCTGAATTCAGATAAAACAGATGTGCTTAGAACATTCAAAGAATCCGACAGAAGAAGCAATCTCATAGGGCCTCTAACTAGTGATGAAGATACCATGAGATGGGACGGATATACTTACACAGAGACACTCATCTCTCCAAAAGATTGTGTTCTTGCTTGGTACTAGTATCGGTTGTTACCCGTTGTATTTTATCATGTGTGTGGTGCTCAATTGGAACAAATCATAGTTCGTGACTATCTAAATATAATTTACTGACAAGTTTAATAGGATTAATTCGAATGAAGATTGAAAATATGAAACGTGCTTTCGTTTTGTCTCGCTACTAATAGCAAACTTAAAAATCTTGTTTGAATATTCTTATTTCTTACGTTCGTCCCGTTACTAATAGCGAAGGTAAATATATTTTTTTGTTTGCACTCCTATTTATGAAGAAGAGAATTATATATAAGTACTAAGTTTAATTTTGTATTATACTTAATTTTAAAATTCTGAATTCACCTAGTCGATATGAACGTATGCAAAATAAAATTAGATAAAATGGTGCCCGCACGATTGCTAAAAGAATGGGGAACCTTAAATCCTTAATTTAGAAATATATAGTTTAATTTTTTTTAAATCTCTCCGCAAAAACTTGCCCACCTCAAATACTACTTTGTTTTAGGCAAACAAAAACAGAGAATAGAATGTTGTTTTTTCATAACAATCCTTAATTATCTCTCAGCCTTTTTTGCTTTTCTCTTTCTTTATGCATTTGGTATTCGAAATTTACTCTCTCTTTCATTAAATCGCTAAAATTAAGTTGTAATTTTAAATTTGGCATAAGGTAAATTATAATTCTTACATGAGGATACTTTGTCCAAATGTTGATAAAGAAGATGGGTTGGAGACAGTGCTGGAGGTGCCAATTCCAGATGAAATGTTCAAAAGTATGGGGAGTAATGCAGCTCTTAGATGGCAAAATATGGCAACATGGATGAAAGCTCAAACATCTGATAAATGGTCTTCACCTATTGTTGCTGCTCGTTATAATGAACTCAGTTTTCTACTTTATATGGTGGGATCTCCTCTTATCCCGTTTCAAATCCAATTGGGCCAATCCGTTAATCGTCCTGTCAAACATTCTTCTATTGTAAGTTTTGGCATTTATATTTCCTGATCAACTTGTAGACACCTCGACTAATTGTTTGAAATTGATGTGCAGGAAGCGTCTACAGCGAAATACATATTGCAACAATACATAGCAGCAACAGGGGGACAACCAGCGTTAAACGCAGTGAATAGTATGTGTGTAATTGGGCATGTTAAAATTACTGGATCTGATTTCCATCAAGGTGATCAAAGTGTGAAGGTGAGAAAAAGTGACGAAAACGGAGGCTTTGTGCTTTGGCAAAAGAATCCTGACCTTTGGTGCTTAGAATTGCTTATCTCTGGATGTAAAGTCATTTCTGGCAGTAATGGCAAAATCTCATGGAGACAATCTTCTAATCAAATTAGGCCAATCTCCAAGGGTCCTCCGAGACCTCTCCGCCGCTTCCTGCAGGTAAAACAAACTTAAACTGTCACACATATGTTATAATAGTTGATTCGTGAAACTATTTTGTCACATTAAAGTAATTGAACTATTCGCGGACGGAAATTTGGCCTTCCAGTCATTTGAGTTTTCTGATCACGTCCCAATAGCTCAGTTATTTTAACGTGACAGAAAAATAGTTGTCTAACTTGACCATACGTGAAATTACTCACACATTAATGTTAGTATCAACATTGTTGTAGGGACTAGATCCTCGGTCTATAGCAAACTTGTTTGCGAATGCAGTCTGCATAGGAGAGAAGATAATAAACGAAGAGGACTGTTTCATTCTCAAACTAGACACAAATCAATCAGCATTGGAGGCACAAAGTGGTCCAAATTATGAAATACTTCATCACACCATTTGGGGATACTTCAGCCAAAGATCAGGTCTAATGATCAAGTTTGAGGATTCCAGGTTGCTAACAGTTAAGACCAGCAGGGACGATGAGGGCGTCTTCTGGGAGACTAGCACAGAATCTGTTATGGAGGACTATAAGCATGTTGAAGGAGTTAATGTTGCGCATAGTGGCAAAACTTTTGTTACAGTTTTCAGATATGGTGAGCAATCTGCAAACCACAAGAGGCAGCTGGAAGAAAGATGGAAAATTGAAGAGGTAGATTTTAATGTTGGAAGATTGACAACTGATTTCTTCATGCCTCCTTCAGATTTCGATAAAGAACGTGCTCGAGTCTAGAATAGATGATGAAAATTATGTACTTGAAGCATATTCAACACAATTTTGCAGTATATACACAAACAGAAAGCTTTTTCTCCTCTCTCAAGAAAGTTTTTTTAAAAACTACTGTACTAATTTGAACAGTATATAATAGAGAAATTTGTCAAGTTTCTATCTGATAACAACTCTTTGCCTCTACATATAGTAACCTTAACTTTCTTATCTTCGGAAAATTAAAAAATGGAAGAAGTATCTCATACCAGTTAGGATCTAGGACGAGCTCTGTGAGTTGAATTGAACCCTCATTTTCCTCTCGGGCTATGTATACATATACAAAAAACAGTTAAAATGTATGTACGTATTTTAAGAGCACATACATTTGAACTCACCGTCTATATACATAATTTTAGCTTCTGAAGATCACAGTTACTATTCAACAAAACACTTGTGGCTTTGTGCTGTTCTTACACAATGGAATACAATTCTTTCTTCCACATTGAAGCGCTTAGTATTTCATAACAATCAATCACTTTTCTATTATTTTTTTCCTTCTAAAACATGTAATCAAAAAATCAAGAACGGACCTGCAGTTTGCTGCTTCATGAAGTGTATTTAAGAACTTACCAAGGACATCAACGGTTTACTACGTAGAATCGAATCACAATTCGACTCGCAAGTTAAGTTTGGAACTATGATGATTTTACTTTCTGAATACTCAAATACTCTCTTAAAACGGTATAACAAAAAGCACAAAGCTATCCTCTATAAGACAATGTATTATGTACATATGATACTAGTATCATCAGTAAATTAAACACAAGCGCAAAACATGTCTATCGAAAGTGTATTTCAGCGCAAAACTACTAGCAACAAATCCAGATTGTTTTTTGCATGAATTAATCCAATCATGATGTTTTTTGAGTTTTCACCAACATGTGATTTCATTGTGGAAAGACAAAAATCAGAGGAGAAAAAATTTACAAGTATGAAATCCTAAATAAATACTAGTTTTTCCCTAACAGCGAAAAATGCAATGAACTGACAGTGTAATCTTTTCACAAATGCCGCCTTTCGCAATAACCAGACAGCAGATGGCATAATCATCATTCATGTATGTGAAAAGCGGTGATCACACAAATGGGGGATTCTTGATATTCTCCAAGTCATAACTTTCTCCCTGTTGCAGTTGTTTGCTCCATCTTCATTTGTCTTAGACTTAATTCACGTATTCCCTGAAATAGTTTAAAATGGGATCAAACACGCATCAATGACATTAGGACACATCTAAAAGGAACAATCACAACATAACAAGAATCTAGGAGAGCAAACTAGGTAGAATTAAGAAAGTTATCTTTGTCTATAACTTTTAACAAAGGACAATACAAAATAGCAGCAACAATCAGCGCATGTTAGAGGCTAAAGAGAGAGATCCAGCCATAAAGAATGTTGTTTTTCAAGCCAAAGTTACTGGCCTATAGAAAGGAAAAACGGAACATCTTACTATCCATCACCTGCCAACCTTTGGGAACAATATTGTTAGGCCATCGTGTTTCATGCCAACCAACTTGACCAATTAAGTTGCAGAAAGAAAAGCTACTATTTTCTTCATCAAAAAAGAAAAGCTACTATTTTATCACTGTGTACTTATAATAGGAAGTTACTGCACATTTCATGTAAACTGCCCTATAAGAGGCAAAGAGAACTTTCAACTCGTTATTTCATACATATATAAATACTGAGAACTTTCTTCAACTCTTATATGGAGTAACAAGAAATTTCATAAGCTTCATCAGAGAAAATAAATAAATAACACAAGAATAGGCACATCAAAGTCAAAAAAGAGAACTGTGTTGTTATCAAGTCCAATCAGCTCCAACGAGAAAGTTGTATTTTGTCAATGAAAACAAGGAGAAATTTTCGACTGGAGCAAACGAATTATAGAAGATCATCTCATGTTGATGGTAAAAGTGAAAGACAGAAGTGATGGACCTATCTACCAATATTATCAAGAATAACAAGTTAACAACAGATGTTCTGAAATACTACATATTTTACACTATCATGTCATTCAATATAGCAAGATGGAACTGAAGGAATGTTCTTTTATCTTTTCCATATGCAAATCGCTAAAGTTCAACATAGCATAATAGCCAAGTACAGTCAGCAAGCAGGTTAATTCTAGCCAAGGAAGAAGAAAAATAAGTTTTCACATCAAAGTTTATTAAAAATACAACTCATGAATCTAGTTACTGAAAACACTTATTCCTATGAATGGGTCCACACAGAACAAACCACAATTAGATGGTTGCAAATAGTTAAAGGAAGCAACCAAAAGGAACACAGAAAACTAGTAAACTTGCGTCTGTAGAATATAGCCACATTAATGATAAAATGTAATCAATGAAATCTCAAATTAAGAAACAAAAAGAATGTAAGCATTAACATCGCACCAAAGTGGCACTCAAGGGTATGGCCTAGTGGTCAATGAAGTGGGATGAGAAAATGAGGTATAATGTTTAAATCCCAGATTCCCATCTGCCTAAGCCAACCCGGAACCTATGTTGCTGGGAGGTAGCAGGTACCCCGTGGAATAGTCAAGACACATAAGCTTGCTCGGACAATGAACAAGAAAAAGAGTAGTGCAAGTTTAAAAACCAGAAATAATAATATAATAACACTAGTAGCGAAAAATCTTCCATTCTGGGCCGGTGACATCAGCTGTTGAATTTTAGCCCATAATCATAATCTAGCGTGACGTGGGAGAGAATTTCCAAAAGTTTCCTAACTGAAGCTGGTTAGGTGCCAGCGTCAGTTAGGGATAGTTGGAACTTCTCTCCCGCCTAGTAGTCTTAGTTACCATGGGACTTTTCTCTCTCTATGTGTGTGTATGTGTGTGTGTATATTTATATATATAT